TGTATGATAATAGACAACTTGAACATGATGGACACACGCACAATCAACCATAATCAAGGAAAAAGAGTACGATTTGAAATATAGTCAACTCCGGTTCAAGCTCCGTGCTAGAGCTTTTCAGGTTCAGAACCGGTTCTTCGGTTTAGCTCCGGCTCTTTTCACACTGCCCAGAGTCCGACTGGTGCTGCGTCATTGCGTCATCGTTTGCGTCATGACGTAAAAGTTTGCGTGCCTGCTTCATAAAGCCAAACCGCGCGGAAACCCCTCACAGTTGACACCGACAACAACAACAATGGCCGATTGTGCTCCAGCTTCCTCTGCACCTCTTCAGAAGACCAGATTCCCAGTAGGTAGCTGGTCTCTTCAGTGGACCACTGCTGCTTGTTAAGTTTCTCCATTGTTGTGTACAAACTGGATAAAACGCCGGCTTTTTGTTGTTGTTCAGGAGTTGATCCCGCCCCTGCCCCTGCCTCACGTAAGCGTGACGTATGTGGTGCTTTTGCTCTGGCCTGACAATTTTTTGGTGCTCGAAATGAACCGGGTTCCGGAGCTAAGAGGCTGCTCCGCTGCGGTGTGAAGAGGAAAACCCGGTGCTTTTCAAGCTCCAGCTCCGAACCGGCCCTGACACACCGTTGGTGTGAATGAGGTAAGTGAGAGGAGAGCATTTGCATTGTTCTGAATGAAAGATAAACCTCTTACATGTGAACGTTTTGTTGAAGAACCGTAACAGATAACGGTGAAATTTCAACGCGTGAAGCACGTCAAGGAATTTGAGCATCTGAAGTTTACTTTTTGTGTACTTTCTGTTTAATAATGTGGCCTTTTTGGCAGATTAACTAAAGGTGTGCGGCTAATGCTGTGAGTAAAGATCAGCTTGAATTTACAATTGGCACACCTGCTGTGTCAGCATTCCAACTAAATAATCATATAAATAAATAAATGAATGCTGCTTTTTTAAACATTCTTGCATCATCGAGACAGGACATGTATCAGCAGACCAGAGTCAGAAAAGTTATTGATGTGTTACCTGGGAGATGTTGACTCCGGTCAGTTTCTCCACGGCGGCGGGGAGGCGGACCATGATGTCCATCACCTCTCCTGACAGTTTGGCTGCGCCCAACTCCCCCCCCCCACTGGACACCATGGTGATCTTATTGGCTTCACACAGAGGCCGGCTGATCTCTTCTGCCATCTAGTGGGTGACACAGATCTTACCAAATGTTTACCAAAAACTTTCAAATGAGGGTGTATACTGTATACGAAGTGTAAATGGCTGTTATGGGACTTCATTATGGTGCCATCTCTCACCAGAGGCAGTTTCTCCAGCAGCATGTCCACCATGGCTCCATCCTTGTACTGTTGGAAGGCCTCTGCCTTCTTGGTCATCTGCTCCGCCTGAGCGCGACCTTTGGCCTCCACCGCAAACGCCTCGGCTTCACCTTTCATCTGAAGGAGACAAGGAACGTACTACCTTAGGAAACCACAAAGGGAAACTCCCATCCCAACATGATATCCACTTTGAACTATTTAGAAAAAGAGCAGAGATGGATTCAGCTGCAGAGATCTGTGACTCACCCTGATGGACTCCGCTTCAGCCTCCGCCTCCATGATCATCTTGAGACTGGACAAAGAGAGAAATGTAGAGTTGTATAGAGACAGATGGTTCAGCCAGTAGAGAATTGGGTTTGTTTTCTTAAAAACTATTTGTCAGTGGCTGTAAAATACTCCACCCGTCTTCTTTTAATCAGTGTGGGTAAGTACATTATTCAATGTACCTTTTTGAGGTTTTTTACTTGAGTGTTTATCATTTCTGCAACTGTAAAGAATGTTTCCATATCATTCAGTTATACCTTACTACATTTTAAAAAAGCAAATATTGTTTTACTTCACTGCATTTCTTTGACAACTCTAGTTGCCAGTTACTTTGAAGATGCAGATCTATAATGTATAATAAATATACATTTAAGAACGTGTGAATTCCTTCCCCTGGGGGAGTCTTTCATAATCCTTCAACAACAGAGATTGCAAAACACAGGCGGTTGAATCTCAGTACTAAAACTGAAAGGCCGCCCGCCCTTCACAACACCTCACTGTAGTTTCAGAAGATCAGCTGTTAGTGAACTTGAGTCTCACCGCTGAGCTTCAGCCAGCTTCTCCAGGCGGTACCGCTCAGCGTCTGCAGGTTTCTTCACCTTGGCCTCCAGCTCCTTCTCCCTACGGGTGATCTCCTGCTCCTGCAGCATGATCTGCTGCGTGCGCTCCACCACCTGGACCTGCATTTTCTCCTCCTCTATGCGCTGCTTCGTCTTGGCGACCTGGAAGACACACAGTGCATGATTCATGTAGTATTTCGTACAGCTTTAAATCCGGTCAGGTTTCACTGAACAAACTCTTTTGAATCCCTCCTGTTTACCTGCAGCTGGTAGGCCATCTCCGACTCCGCCTTCTTAGTGTTCACCTCCAGGTCGTAGGCTGCCTTCTTCAGCTCATAGTCCCTCTGAGCCTTTGCCATGTCGATCTCATTCTTGTACTGAGCCGAGACTTTCTCCTGCATCGCATGAGCCTCCTGCAGGGACGCAGAGCGAAACAGGAACAGAGTAAGGAGGCGGAAAATAGGGATCAACGGTAATCACTCTTGAGAATCATATATTAGCATACAAATGCTAAAAGTAGCAACAACCATTTTGACAGTTAACTGAGCAGAACAGACTTAGGAAAAAATGACTAAAAACTGATTTCTACAGAGAAGATGATCATCACAATATAAAGAAACACTTTTTATGTCCTGATTTACATTTTGAGAGGAACAACAATATCCTGTGGGATGGGGGCGACGTGGTATATCTCACCCTGATCACAGCATCTCTCTTGTTCTCGGCCTCTCCAATGCGGGCGTCCTTCTGAACCTGGGCTGTTCGAGCCTTCCCCAGTGAATGCAGATAATCCTGAGCACCAGAGAGAGATGTTAAAGTTGTGCGATCTTCATTCGAGACATAACTTATCCAAGATACATCATCATTTTTGCTGCAGCTCTTTCTGTGGACAACAAACCCATACACCACAATTACCACCTTCCAGTGTAACTCTCTGCTATATAACAACGGCAATACTATTATTTTTATTATTAATAATGTTCTATAATAACGTGCAATTACGTATCTGCCACTACGATTTTTTGCAATGTTAATATTTACATTACTGATGTGACCGTCTATGTGTCCTGCACTGTTAGTGTACAGTTTTATCATTATGCTGCTGTGTTTATTGTATTTTTGTTACTCTGGCACAACAACGGGATAAATAAAGTCCTATCTCATCTTATCTCTTATCTTATGCCTCCGCCAACCAGTCGAGATATGTTTGATGATCTAATCAGTTCTTCCTTGAGGCCATGTGGACTGTTAGGCCACATTTTGGAGGATTCTTTCAATCTATCCCTGAGAGATCGCACACACTACTCTTGACCTCGGGGCAACAAATAGTGAGAGATGTGCACATTGATGGCCAGTGTCACTTTTTGGTGTGCAATTATTTTCCTTGAATTAGAAGGTAAATTGGTCGTCAATTTGTTAAAAGGATAAAAGGACCCTAGCAAACCCAGTAAACAAACAGCAAATAAACATAATTCATTCATTCATCAAACGTTTAGTGGACGTCAGATTGAAATGGCTAGAGAAGGGCTAGCCGTCAAAGAGTTGCAATTATACATTTGGAAAAAGACTCATTAATAAAGATATGAGAAGATAAGTGGATACCTGGTCGTCGTGAACGTCTTTGAGCGTGTAGCTGACCACGCTGATACCCATGTTGACCAGGTCAGAGGAGGCCACCTTAAAAACCTGCTCCGAGAACTTCTTCCTGTCCTTGTAGATCTCCTGTAGGAGGAAGAAGTTCAGTGTCTCTCAAGGTCATGAAAGCATCAGAACTATACAAGGTATTATTTCATATATTCAACCTTGTTAGAAGCAATGTGACAAACAAACCTTTAACATGAGCTTTTCCATCTTATACTCACTGAATGCAACTAAGAACAATGACATATTTGAAACTGAGTACATTTACAAGGCAAGGCAAGTTTATTAAAGTTAAAGCCTTTTATTGTCAGTTTACAAAAAGTACAACGAAATTCAGAGTGCAACTCTGTCCCAGTGTGCAAAAACTAGACATACATAACATTAAAAACACGGCAGTAGGACAGACAACATAAGCAACGGGGGGAATAAATAGTTAAAAGTATTGATATACAAATAGTATATCATTTTTAAAGTGCATTCAAAGTGTGTGTATATGTGTGGAGATGGTTACGGTTATTGCGTTAAGTGTGGTGGTTAAGCAGCCTGACGGCCCAGGGGTAGAAACTGTTTTTGAGTTTGTTTGTCCGTGACTTGAAGCTTCCTGTATCTCCTCCCAGAAGGCAGGAGAGAGAACAGTCTGTAACCTGGGTGAGAGCTGTCCTTTATTCTTTGATTTGCTCTACTGAGGCAGCGGGAGGTGGAGATGTGTTCCAGAGAGGGCAGGGGGCAGCCCACGGTTTTCTCTGCCATCCTGATCACTCTCTGCAGGGCTTTCTTGTCCACAGCTGAGCATCCAGCATACCACACAGAGATGGAGTATGACAGCACGCTCTCGATGGTCGCCCGGTAGAAGGACACCAGCAGCTTCTTGTTCAGTCTGTTTCTCCGAAGCACCCTCAGGAAGTGTAGTCGCTGCTGGGCCTTCTTAACTGCTGCAGCGGTGTGTGCTGTCCAGCTGAGGCTCTCCGAAATGTGAACCCCCAGGAACTTAAAGGTGGAGAACCTCTCTACTCTCTCTCCATTGAGGTGAAGGGGGGCGGGTTCTGGATCGCCTTTGTTTTCGATGGTGTTTTCTGAAGTCTATGATGATTTCCTTTGTTTTGCTTGTGTTCAGATGTAGGTTGTTTGCTGAACACCACGCAGACAGCTTCAGGATCTCGTCTCTGTATGCCGACTCGTCGTCTCACTTATATATTTGACCGACCACAGTTGTGTCATCCGCAAATGTTATAATGGAGTTGGAGGGGTGAATGGAAGAGCAGTCGTGTGTGTAGAGTAGAGGGCTCAGCACGCAGCCCTGCGGGGAGCCAGTGCTGAGGGTGCGGGTGGAGGAGCAACGGAGGAGGACGGTCTGTTATGAAATTGTTTATCCAGGCGCATATGAAGGTAGTAGGTGATTCAGGGAGAAAATTCTTAATCAGGTTTTTGAATCCCATCGTTTAATCAACACCCTTACCTCCACAGTCAGGTGGGCGATGATGGCCCGCTGGTGTCCCTCCAGCGTCTCCAAGGCGATCTGAGTGATCTCTGCTTCTGACTTCCCCATGAACATTTGGCAAGCTGCAGCCAGCATCTGTTTGTTCTGACCCTGGATCTTCATCTGTGGGGAAAAGCAACGTTTTTAATATATTGCTGTGTTCTTTCCCCATGGCAGCTCTTTTTCTATGCAAACCAATACCAGACACTCTGATAAGAAAACAATCATAATAATAGCAAGTAGTGCTTGGAAATCTACCAATATGAGGACTATATATCTGCATTTATTTTGTAATTACATTTCATTTAGCTGATGCTTTTATCCAAAGCAACTTACAAACTTGAAGAAAACAGAATCATATAAGTACATCAGGTTTCATAGAGCCAAACATTTCAAGTGCTACTCAACCGGCTTTAGATAAGCCAGTCCTTTGTTAGTATATAAGTGCTTTGTTAGTATGTAAGTGCTTAGTTAGTATAAGTGGTTTTTATTTTGTTTTGTTTTTTTGTTTTGTTTTCATTTTATTGCTCGAAGTGGTAATATCACACAAGTTTAATTAAAAGCTGCATTACAATAAATATAGTGTTCTGTACTTACCCGACTCTGTATTATTTGCTTTTAGCCACTTAAGGCATTGCAGCCACATTCCTGAAGAATATTTATCAAAAACCTCATTGCGTAAATAGTAGTCACCCCTACAACATCTTGGCAATATCAATATTGAGGTATTTTGTCACAAGATATTGCGATATTTGAATCTGTTGTTACATTTGCCTGAAGTACATACAAATAGGAAAATGATTTACTAATGCTTAGATTTGAAAAGCTACAACAGGCTCCCATCTGCCACATTTACTATCTGTTTTTTCTCTTGGCTTTTAATCACTGTCATTTTTTGTAAGGCACTTTGAAATGTGCTATATAAATGAATTTGCCTTGTTTGGTGAATGTAACTGACGAAGAGATGAGGATGAGCCCTAATGAACAAACTGACTGAGTGTATACACAAACCTTGCCTCTTTATTATAAAGTGTATCCGGGTTCAAATGTAAACTGACTGTTTTTTCCCTTCTGATGACCCTAAGGAACTATTTGTCCTTTACTCTAGAGACCTTTCCTCCTAGGAAACTCCCTCCTGCTGATCCCTCTACAGAGGGGACACTGACCTGGGCTATCCCGGTGACGGAGACAGGCACCCCATGGCGGGTGTACACTTTATCGCTCTTCACATTCAGAGTCAGCGTGTTCAGAGAAATCCTGGAGAAAGGCAGGGTGAGACAGAAAGGAAATTATGATTATTGATTTAATATCTACTGCCCTAATGGTATACATTAAGGTTATTTCCGCTATGTACTCCTATTGAGATTCCAGCTTGATCAATATCAAATTGCTGTTGTGAGATGTTAGTTGTAGACAAACAGGTGAGCAATGGTTTATGTAACAAATGAATTACATTATTAGACAAGAAAATGATGCTCCTAATCATTTGTATCTGCTAAGGAGGAGGAATATGACCATCGTTTCCAATAGGAGTCCATCAATCATCCTGGGATTGTAAATCACATTTGGTGATGAATTTTATATGGTTTGTTAGTTACCTTTTAATCAAATATCCTGTAGTGCAAAGATAATTTTTCCTTTACAATTAATATTAATGCTTTTTGCAAGCTAATCTTCTTTGCCAAACCAAGTCAGTTAAAAACATGACATTACATTGCATTTAGCCGCTGCATTCTGGATGAGCTGCAGAGGTCGGATGGCACATGCAGGTAGACCAGCCAGGAGGGAGTTGCAGTAGTCTAGGCGTGAGTTGCAGTAGTCTAGGCGTGAGATGAAAAAGCACCAATATCAGGAATAAAGATGGACAGAAAACAGTAAACATTCATATTTGCCGACCTCTGTAACTGCTGGATGCACGGGATGACGAACACTCGGCCTCCAGGTATCATCAGTGGAGGAGAACGACAAAACCCTGGGACACATAAAAGATCGAGCAGAGCCTCAAGGCAGACGTCAAAGGTTGAGGGATGTGAACAAAAATATTGCAACATCAAGTAGTTATAGTATTAGATGTTGTAGTATGTTCTACTTCAAAATAAGACAGCCAACTGGATAAATAGAAATAATAATCTTTGCTAACAAAATTATCAACTAGATAATGTTAAATATTTGGTAAGCCCCACTTTGAATGGATGGAAATTAATGAAAAGCAAGAATGATACATTTGATTATGGTCTTGTTTTGATGAAGAAAGATGATTTATATAGGCCTAATTGTACCTGACACCACCATAGCCTCGTTGGGACCACAGGTGTAGAACATGATGGCTGATCCTCTTTCAAACTGAAAAGTAAAGAAAGTTGTGGAATAAAACAAAAGAAAAATACTGAGTCACTATTAAATTCCCACCTTGCAAACACTCAATTTAATCAAATAAGTGTTTGGACATCTTCTATACAAACACATTTGTATTATTATATTAAAATATAAGGCCTCAAAAAGTAGCCGTTGTTTGTATGTAACTTGGCTTGGGTACCTGAGAGCAGACCAGCATAGAATATCATTTACACAAATGTTACGCAGTAAAAATGGTTTAAAAGCCACTGAAATAACTGGAAACCCCACACATTAGAGCAGAAGAGAGTAACGCTTAAATGTGTGTTATATTCAGTGATGCAAACACAGGTATGGTGAAAAAAGAGAGAACTATTCGAAGCAGAAAGAAACAGCATAATATACCATCTGACAAAGGCCTGTGCTATAATGCTTCAATTAACTGGCTATTCTTTATAATATACTCAGATCAATAGGAGACAGATATTTTAAGTTATAAATCAAGGGTTTTTATTATTATTTACAGCAGGGGCGGGGAACCTTTTTCCTTTCAATTTTTACAACATCCTCCGAGGTCCCAACAAATTATTGAACTCAACCTCTGCTTAAAAAAACTAAAATCACAGACAATTCATTTGGCCTTTCTTTCATGCTGTGCAAAGAAAACGCAACCTCTTAATCCAGATATCTCACCATGACTCGCGCATGCATGCATGTGCACGGTATGGCATGACCACCAAAACAGAAAGATATGAACACAAGATGTGTGCAAATGTATTTAGTATCCATGTGAACATGATTTCAGTGGGGGGGAACCTAACCTCCTCTAAGGGGGTCCGGGGGCATGCTCCCCCGGGAAGATTTTTTGTTAAAATATTGAAGTTAAAAGCATCAATCTGGTGCACTNAAACAGTGATGAAAAACGATATGACAGTAAAACAAGAATACAGTTTAAAAGGGGAGTGATTAGTAAAATATCCATAAAGAAAAAGAAAATCTGTTTACACTGTAAACAGATTTTCTTTTTCTTTATGGATATTTTACTAATCACTCCCCTTTTAAACTGTATTCTTGTTTTACTGTCATATCGTTTTTCATCACTGTTTTTCATTTATTCTCATACATGGTGACCAAACAGTTTGAGACCCACTGAGATAACTAGACTAAAGTTAACTATCTAAACACTCAAGAGAGTCCCTTACCTCACTGAGCTGTAGTTATCTCTCTCAGTCTGACAGGAGAGAGCTCTCCCTTTCCTTGTTTTAGAAACAGCTTCTAATATCCGTTAGCGCTCGGTTTGCTGTTCCTTCACTTTATTTTTATATTTATACAGATCTCAACCCCATAGAAAATCTTTGGAGGGAGTTGAAAGTCTGTGTTGCCCAGCGACAGCCCCAAAACATCACTGCTCGAGAGGAGATCTGCATGGAGGAATGGGCCAAAATACCAACAACAGTGTGTGAAAACCTTGTGAAGACTTACAGAAAACGTTTGTGATTTTCTGGATTTTTTTTTCTCATTTTGTCTCTCATAGTTGAAGTGTACCTAGGATGAAAATTACAGGCCCCTCATCTTTTTAAGTGGGAGAACTTGCACAATTGGTGGCTGACTAAATATTTTTTGCCCCCTATGGAGTTGGTCAGTTGTGTGCAAATTAGTGTCCATGGTTATTATAAAAAATAAATGCTGTTGTTGGACAGACACAAACACACCGAAAACACACAGAGCGGAGACAGACCCACTATTTCAAGCATACTACGTCATCGAGTGCCGCCAAAGTACTGTTCCAATGTCCAGCATACTTGGAATTCTATCGAGCCCGGCGTACTTCGTTTGGAGAAATTTCGAGGCTTCACATGAGTAGACTCCGCGGTCTTAAAATCCCCACAACGTAGCATCCTGCAGTCGCTCTTTAGCTGTTGTAATGAAGGTGAAGTAAACAGTAAAAGGCACAGCTCTTTGCAGCTGGTGCTGCTCTTCTCAGATTCTGCTGAGTTACACGTTATTGCCTCCTGGTGCTGCAGAGATTTCATGAAGTGAATGGGGTTTTAATTCTATAAAACAGCTGTGGGCAGCAGATACTGTGAGAGTCAAGGACATGAATTCATAGACCAAGGCAGACTGGTTCACAGACTCCTGTTTTGCCAATCCGGTGCTTAAACAAATAGCTCTACACCCCTGGAAGAAATGTCCTTAAAATGAAGTCCGAGTTCGAAATATATCTCAAATAATGTATGCACTGCCATTTCCCCACATAAACATAACAGTCTGTGTTGGGGAAACTTCTGTGTAGCAATGCAGGAGGAGTCACCGACTCAAGGAGACACTGGGAGAGCAGGAGCTTTGATGTCAAACAATGATGTTTTATTTAGGAGCTTCGACCGGAGAATTCACAAAATAAGTCAGAGTCAGAGGTTCTGTCTTCACGGTAGAGTTGCCACGTCAATTCTGAAGAACTCTGCCCCAGACCCATGTATTTACCTAGTTCAGAGAGAATAGTCAACATTGTGCTTAACAAGAATAATAATGATAAAACCTCTATCAGCTGACGCCAACAGGCAGGAACAGGGAGACAAAACACTGAGAGCACAGCAGCCAAGGTTACACGTGCGTGTGCTCAGTCAGGACAGTATGAACTGATAAACTGGGTCAAAGTTATGGGTCTTGGAAAATATTTCCCCTACAGTCTGCAATTAAACGGTTGTCTCCTGTGCGCTCCACTTCCTACTTGGCGCACCGGTAATATTCTCCTCCGAACAAGATACTTGCTCTCTCTCTTTCTTTTTCATTGACCTTTCGTGGCTTCATACAATACAAATGCAAATAAGTCCTTTCGAGTCATCTGTCATCAAGTCTCAAGTCCAAAAATATGCGACTCGAGTCAAGTCATGTGACTCAAGTCAAGTAATGTGACTCGATTCCCCCACCTCTGGTATTTACTTTGGTTAGAATGTTGCTGTATTACTGTATCAAATATAATACAAATATAATAAACACAGTTAGCAAAAGTAGTATTTTGTTAACTGAAGGTTTGTATTAAGTGAGTTTTTATTGTGTTAACTGTATATGTATTTATGCTTTTTAGATTGACTTTCTCTCTTTCTCTGTCCGTCTGTTCTAGAAACCGAAAGGAAGAGAGAGACGTCACAGCTGTCAGCAATGTGACAAATCCTTTACAATATCTGGACATTTAAAGAGCCACCTGCTTATTCATACGGGAGAAAAAAAGAACAGCTGTGAAGAGTGTGGGAAAACATTCACTACCTCAGATGCTCTCAAAAAACATCAACGTATTCATACGGGAGAAAAACCGTACAGCTGTGAACAGTGTGGGAAAACATTCACTCAATCAGGTGCTCTCAAAACACATCAACGTATTCACACTCAAGAAAAACCGTACAGCTGTGAACAGTGTGGAAACACATTCACTACATCAGGTCATCTCAAATCACATCAACGTATTCACACTGGAGAAAAACCGTACAGCTGTGAACAGTGTGGGAAAACATTCACTCGATCAGATACTCTCAAAAAACATCAACGTATTCACACGGGAGAAAACCCATACAGCTGTGAAGAGTGTGGGAAAAAATTCTCTAGATCAGATGCTCTCAAAATACATCATAGTATTCACACTGGAGAAAAACCATATTGGTGTGAAGAGTGTGGGAAAATGTTCAGAGCATCAGGTGAACTCAAAATCCATTATCGTGTTCACACAGGAGAGAAACCGTACTGGTGTGAAGAGTGTGGAAAAATGTTCAGAACATCAGGTGCTCTCAAAACACATCATCGTGTTCACACAGGGGAGAAACCGTACTGGTGTGAAGAGTGTGGAAAAACGTTCAGAACATCAGGTGAACTCAAAATCCATCATCGTGTTCACACAGGAGAAAAACCATAGTGGTTTTAAGAGTGTGGGAAAACTTTTTATCAAAATATTCACCTTAAACTCCATGAGCGAATCCACACTGCATTGTTTTGAACTATGAGAGCCAAGCTAGCTGTTTCCTCCTCCTGATGCCCTGAGAGCTGTCGTTGTATTTTAAGAGTCTTTCTGAATAGAACTCTGACTAACAGTTTTTTATGTTCTAAACAGCGTTCACACTATGCTAACATGAGGCCACAGAGATGCTGTTTCTCATGTGATTCATGTTTGTAATGGTTCCTGATCTATAAAGAAATGTTTAACTATGCTGTTTCTCAACCATTCTTTTAGCCTTGTTATTCTTTCTTTTTTTTAATATGATATCTCAACTGCTAGCCTCGTTAAACTGCATTGAAGGAATGTAGTTCCACTGTTCATTAATCTGCAGAGTAGTTTCTCGAATAATCTGTTTGGTTAATACAATGTTACGATGTTTTCAGTTTGATTCTGTTCTCTTTTGTTTAAACTATTAGACTGTACCAAAATAAAAAAGACTCACTTCCCTGCATAGTTGTGGTGTATTTCAGCAGATTATAAACATGTTGTTCCCTTGTTTGAATGAATAAAGACAGGAGGGAACTGTTTCAATAAATTGTCGACGGAAATAAAGACATGCCCCAGGATAAATCAGCGTTATTATATATATAATATTAGTGTTGGGCAACGATGACAGCATTGTTTTGCACAAAATTCAATAATAATTCAAAAGTCATGTAAATGGGTGGTATGATGTGAAATATAATCAAGTGTTAAGACTTTCCACCTGGAGTAAATTCACAAGCTACCCTGCAGTATACAAAGTCATTCAAACTGCACCTTTACCAGCTTTAAGAACACTTTAATGATCAATCATTATAAAACATATCATATATATTATTCTGAAATGGGCCAATCTGCACAATTACTTTTCATATAATACTTTTCTGAGTACTTCTACTTTTACTCAAGTACAAGATCTGAGTATTTCTCCACCTCTGTAAGTATAATAAGGCAGTAGGGATTGCCTTGAATCTCTCAGTCAGAGCTGGTTGATGAGACAGAGGTTTGGCGCCCTCTGCTGGGGTTTTTTCAGGTATTGACGTATTGACACACTAAAATGTCTCATAAAGCACACTTATTTAAAGGTGACCTATCATGCAAAATGCACTTTTGTACGTCTTTTATACATGAATATGTGTCCAGGGTGTTCCAGGGAACTCACCAAGTGTCAGAAAACACAACCCTCTATTTTCCTCGATGCCCAAATCTCTTTAAAAGGGGCTGCAACAGATCTGATCCAGACTGATCCAGATTTGAACACTTCTATGACGTCACAGAAGTGGCGCTACGGCTATTGGGCCAACTCCACCAATCAGGAGGAGACAACCACGGACATTGCCGTTCTAAAGCGCTGGAGACGCTGTAGTACATATGCCAGGCCTGTAGATGGTGCTGTTCTCACAGAATCAGCCCATGCAAAGACAGTGTTAAATTGAGCGAAATGAGGAATGGCTAAAATGCATGATCTGTTTGGTATTTTGAAAAATAAAAAGTATAAATATGCCTTATATAGGTATGGTCCTACACTATATTATTCAAATATAGCATGATAGGTCCACTTTAAACTGGCACTCAAAACAGCAAAACCATAGCTCCAAAACTCTAAACACATTTTCAGCTCTGCACCCAAATGTCACTTCAACATGGCCCNATAGAATAGAAAATATGAAGAAGATACTGTAAGTGATCTCTACAATAAAACAGTTTAGTGCCTGATAGGAGGATGTGCAAAAAAGACAAACTAATAAGGTCTTCTTTTAAATAAGAAAATAGCTTGGGGGCGGCTTGGGAGTGAGAACGTGTTGAGCTGGTTGATGTTGCTGGGGAAGAGAGGTTTGGCGCCCTCTGCTGGTTTCTTTTTCAGGTGCTGATGAACTAAATATCTCATAAAGCACAATTATTTAAACTGGCACTCAAAACAGCAAGACCATAGCTCCAAATCTCTAAACACATTTTCAGCTCTGCACCCAAATGTCACTTCAACATGGCCCTTTCTGCAAACACTGCACACGGTTCTGAAAGTAAAACACGGGAATCTGACGTAAAACACTGCCATTTCTGTAAAACTGCAGCAACATTAACCGTTACAGTTAACACTTTGCAAACTCAGTAGATAGTTTTTAAAATCAGAATCCAGTTAGTAAAGTAGGTTTCATTTGCTCAAGTGGTACAAACATGTAGGCTACACAGTAAGAGAAATGATATATTAGGCCTATTAGAAATATAACAGAATAAAACATGTTGACAAGAAATAAATGAGCAAAAAAAGGAACAATTATGTACAATCTCTGTGTGTTGTAAAGTGGAAGAGCTGTGCAGTTTTACAAAGTGGAGGTATTGTGCAGAAATGTGCAATATAGACATAAAACGGTCCCGTTGCTCATGATCTAAGAAAAGGAAATGTGCGTTTGATGAGAGCAGAAGTGTTTCTCTGTTCAGGACACGGCCCCCAGACTCAATAATTCATATTTACAGAGGAGCGCTGAATTATTGAACTGAGCTGTTAGTCCGACGATGAGTCACGCTGTTATTCTGAGAGCTTCACTTTCCTCTTATCACTGAGACGCACTTTTTATTCATCAGAGCAATGTGAGGGGATGTTCCCCTAACATATAAACAGCAAGGCAACATGGAGTTCTGCAGGATGAAGTATTCCTGTGTTGGTCCCTGAAGGCATCATCTCCCTGGTCCGTGGAATTTTGGATTATTGCAGAAAATAATCTCTGTGTCAAACAAACTTTTGTGATGTTCATTTCAGCAGGATAATCTCCACATATTTACACCACTTGATGATTTCTGAAGTAAAAAGGTAATATTGGGCTATAAAGGAACTACAGCACGGTCACATGACTTCACGTCACCACTGCTAAGCTAAAGGAGGCACATTTTGGGCTATAAAGGAAATACAGCACGGTACACATGACTTCACGTCACCACTGCTAAGCTAAAGGCAGCTAATGTCTGGCTATAAAGGAACTACAGCACGGTCACATGACATCACGTCACCACCGCTAAGCTAAAGGAGGCTAATGTTGGGCTATAAAGGAACTGCAGCAAGGTCACATGACTTCACATCACCGCCGCTAAGCTAAAGGCAGCTAATGTTGGGCGTGATGTTGCTGATTGGGTGACTTTTGATCTCCTCGCTGCCTTCGGGCCCTAATTTATTTGTTGTTTTGTCTGACTGCCTTTTTTTTTTTTTTTTTAATCCTGTTTTCTTTGTAAAGCGACCTTGGGTCCCATGAAAGGCGCTATATCAATCTAAACTATATTATTATTATTATTATTATAATTATTATTATGTTGCTTGTGTCACTAGAGTTGGAAACTTCATGGATGAGATTATAAAGTGGTCCTCTGATCTGCAGCAGGTGGAAATGAGAAACGTGTGATCGCTCCGAGGCGTTTCACTGCAGGCCAACCAGCAGCTCTGAATAAATATCACATTCAGCTCTTTTATTTCATCTGAACTAATTCAAGTGATGAAATCTGGAGCAATATCCTCCTCTTTTTTTTTTAAACGTTCCCGGCACTGTGAAGCTTCTGGCAAAAGGAAATTAGACGTGGAAAAAGCTGCTTCTGAAAAAGGTATAGAGGCAGGCAAATACAAATATAAAACAGACAGCTAACTTAGAGGTAGATTATTGAGTCTAATGGTCTTGATTACTTGATTATTATAACAGAGTCCCGTCAAAATGGAAAGAACAAGATTATATATTTTTATAATCCTGAACGTTACCAAGCGCTCCGGTCCCAGCTGTGTGCGTCACTCTTTAGTGTCCCCTGGTCTCCCAGCTGTGTGTGTCACTCTTTAGTGTCCCCTGGTCACGATCTTTCTGTGTTTTATTTTGGTCCTGTTTAGATTTGTCTTTTTTGGTTTTCTGTTCTAGTTTGAAAAGTGTTCAACCCCTGATTGTGTTCACCTTGTGACCCTGTCTTCTCCTCCCTCCTCACCTGTGTCTTGTTTCTTTGATTAGTCCTGTGTGCATTTAGGTTCTGCTTTTCCTGTTAGTCTTTGTGAGATCCTTGTTGTTTTTTGAATGTGTTCACAGGGGAGAGAGTTCTGCTCTGTATGTCTAATCGTATCCTTGAAATAAATGTATTTTTTCAGTTAAACCTGCATTTGGGTCCTGCCTGCTTCGCTCAACCCTGACAGAAGGATCTCACCAAGAATGGATCCAGCAGACAGCCTACGAGGTTACGTACAATTGACTTTGTTTTTAAAATGACTGTCGATACGCCTCCACCAGAGAGGAAAGGCAGTCTATCATCTCTAAGGCACGCCAAGAAGTAACCTTGAGGCCCTGGTTAAGAGACTTACTACCCGAGT